CAATTCTTGCCTCTCCATCCGCAACTAGGTCCTTGTGTAACGCAAGACCCAAGATGTACAGATCGGCGTAACGCTTGCCAGTGTATTGGCACCAACCCTTGTAACTAGGTTCGCTTGCACTCTTTTTGTTTGAGTCATCCGGTGCCTTCTTTGTAGAAGAGTCATCTTTCGAGGGATTCTCTTTTGTTTTGGTGGTGGTTGCCTGACCAGAAAGATTTGGTTGTTGTTGATGCTTCTTCTTCTTGCGAAGATACTGGCAGGATCCTTCTTTCGGCGAGTTTTTCCTTTTGCTGTTGATCAGCTGCAGTGGTCTCTTTGTGTGGAATCATTCAGATCCATCGTTTCTTTGTCCCTTTGCGGGCTATCAGAGTGTTTGTTCTGGTTCAGTCACTGTCATCTTTTTTGGAAGAGGGCTGGTGAGTCGAGCCAGTTGCACCAATTCTCTCGATTCAACATGTCTGGAATCCATTGGGATCTTCTGACTCTTTGTTGTTCTCTGGGACTCTTTTATCTGAAGTGACGAGTAACCGTTCTGTTTGCGGTTTGCTCTGTTCCGCTTCCTTTTCCGTGGGCTGTTGTCTCTGTACTCTGTTCCACTTGGTCCGCGTCTGCTGATTCTGTGGGTTGTTCATTTGTGTTCTCCTCTTCACTGATTCAGTGGTGCGGCTTCTCCTTCCGTTGCTCTTCCCTTATTGTGCAGTCGATGAATCATATTGTCGCAGTTGAGGGCTTCGCTCTCTCTTCTGCTTCCTTTTCCTGTGGCGCTGTTGCTTTCTCTGCACTCGGTCTCCACTTGGTCTGAGTCCACTGATTCTGCGGGTTGTTCGTTTGTGTTCTCCTCTTCCGCTGACTCGGTGGTGGGCTTCTCCTCTGTACTCTCCTCTTCTGAGCTCCCCGTCTCAGTCCGCTGCTTCTCGGCCTCCTTCTCTTCTGATTGTGTCTCCTGCTTCTCCTCTTCTGCTTTCTTACCCTCTTCGGGAGTCGTTGTCGTCTCTGTTGTCTCCGAGTCCACGGGCCCCGATAGTGGCTCTTCTTGACTACTGGTCTCTGTTGTCTCTGCTGTATCTGCCTGTTCTTGGGAAGAATCTTTTTCGGACGATGACGACTGGGGTTCCTCTTCTGTAGACTCATCTGTTTCCTGACTGACAGGAGTCTCTATTGTTGCAGTGTCCGTGTCACTTTCAGCAGCGTCATTCTTTGCCGACTTCGTTTTCGTTGCTTCAATCTCTATGCCTTCATTGCCCTCTGCTGCTTTTGCTGCCATATCATTATGTTTGCTTTCAGCGTCCTCTGGTTCTGCTGTTGCACTATTTTCCATATCGGTTGCTTTTGTTGTTGTATCAACGTGTGCATCAGCATCGGCAGGCTCACTGTCATCGTGTGCTGTGGTAGCAGAGGAGTCGGTTGCTTCTTCATCCGCATTGGGTTCTATTGGTTCATCCACAGAGGCAGCATCTGGCTCCTTGTCTGCATTGGAGCTATCATCGGTGCTCTCCTCGCCTTTCTCTATTCTTGGTGCATCATTCTCCACGACGCTTATGAAACTGTTGTCTGAAGTTGATAGCTCGACATCATCTATTTGTCCAGGAATATCCTCAGTCTTGTCCTCTTGAACTTTGTCTTGAACCTCGTCCAGTGATTCAGTCTTCTTGCCGTTGCTTTTGATAGTATCACCGGCATCATCAATCTTTGGATCTTTGGGGATTGTCACGGTGGTGGTCAATGTTGGCGGTTCTTGTTCCGATTCTTGGCTAGTCTCTTGTTGTGCATGACAAGGAAGTATCAGATCCAGCGGAAAGGCTACCAGAAACACCAACAAATATGCCAACGCCGTCCTTGCTCGTCTTGTCATCATCTTCGTCAAGAAACTACAGTACGACAACAGACACCAGTCCAGATTGCTGGCAGCTGCAAAAAATGAAAGGAGGTTGATGGCGTTGAAACGAATGATGTTGTGAGAAAGCTTCCACCTTCCACGTGGCGAGGTGTCCAAGAGGGACGAGGCAACTGTGCGTCTTGTGATCTCCATTCACAACCTCGCAAACTTGGCCGTCAATCCACCCCACCCAAAAAATAAAATAACGAAGTTTTATTGCGCGCATCATTGGCTTGATTTAGTTCGGTTGCCGGCTCAGCTCCTCTAGAGGTCATCTTCTGTCATTGCAGTGACGGCAACTTCATCATAGCACCAGCCTGCACCAATCTCTTCCTTGACTAACCAGTTGTGAAGAATTACTCCACCTCGGACATATTGAATAATTCCTTTTAGGTCTTTCTTTTTGGCAATCTTCATTCGGATACTTTTAAAGAAAGGAAATCGGCCCTTCAAGATGCCAATGCAATGCTCCGACTTGACCCGTGGCTTAGCCAACAATGTATTAAACTCCGTGGAATTTTGCGACATGGCTTGGCCAGAGAGATTCTTGAACGGTGGTACCATCTGTTGCCCAGGAGTGAATGCCGAATCTCCCAGTAGGTATTCGTTGCTAGCAAAATGCTCATCGGTTTGGTGGTACGGCTTGCAGGTTCTCCAAACTCGATTGTCGTGGACAGAACCAGGCCACCCAACATGGTAATATAAAATTCTTCCATGATCATCACAAACTATAAGCATAACGATAGCATAAAATCGCTTTCTAGATAAATAATTCTCCCCATGTAAAAGGGGTCTAGCAGCGAGAGGTAACAATGTACCATCGATCAGTCCCACACAATTTGGGAAGAGCCACTTCTGTTTGATTCGACTGGCGATTGCTTTGCGTTCATCAGGCGTAGGCCAATAATAAGTTTGGCTTTCCAAGGAGAGCAATGTCTGTAATGCATCTTCCGGCATTTGTTGATTGTTCCGGATCCAACTCCAAAGAAAGTGCCCAAATTAATACTGGATGAGCCATTTCCTTCGGTGCCATAGTATTTCAAGAGAACCAGCAGTTGATGGGATGCTGGTTTGGGTTTGGGTCCTCTTGAATCAGAGTTCAGTGGATGGAAAATTGCATGGTCCTTGATGAGACCAACCAGCTCCCAAAAGGCTGCACGTGGTAGCCGAAAATGAACAAGAAATTCTGTATCGGTCAAGGCATCCTCGATGCTGCCTTCGTCGGCAAGGTAAATATGGAATCTTGTCGTCCGTCGGCGGTATTTGACCCTGAAAAAGTAACGCTTGCGCTGAACCTTGCGCCTCAAAGAATGACATCGGTAAAGGAGATCAAAGTGCTGGCTGCTGTCAACACCCAACAGATTCAGTACGTTCACATGTTTTGCCAATGAGAGAATCAAGCCATCAAGTCGCCTGAGGACAAGTTGTTTCCCTGATCTCCTTGGCATGGTCAAGCTGTTGGTGGCAGCAGTGTGGCTTGAATGTGCAAATGTTACTAGCTAGTCCAGCGTAGTAGTAGTATGATATGATGCTAGTTGCTCTGAGTATTGTGCCTTCTGCGCGTTGGTGGCAGTGTGGCAGTGTGGCAGTGTGGCAGCCTTTCAGTGCTTCTTCTATTATAATAATAATAATGCTACATGGAGGGACATTCAATGTCTCGAGTTGGGGGCAAGCAAGGGAAAAAGAAAAAAAGCTGCGAAAGAGCACCAAAATAGGTGCTCTTTCAAAGAAGTTGTTTTATTTTTCCTCAGCCAATTAGATTTCACGAAACAAATTTTTCAAAGAAGTCAAAAAAATAAATTTCCAAGGAAGGAGCCACTTTGAAGACCCCTATTGTTTTAAAAGGCGACACCGCTGAGGAAGCGGGAAAGCCACGTAACACCGCAGCCACTGCCACTGCTCTGCCTAGCTTAGCCCACCTCTTTCCTTTTAATAATGTATCTATTTAGTATTTGTTGCTCGATTGGATACTTATTTGCTACCAACCATGAATACAACCTCCTGTCTCAGCGATGAGCTGCTCTTCCGAGCCACATTCAACTTTGAAACTGCTCCCTCAAACTTTGGTATTCAACTATACCAGTCTGGGCCTGACTTCGCCCCGGAGACAGGGTTATGAAATAAAATCTTGGAAGATCAGGACTTTCCTCGTTACGGGGTCTCACAGCGGGTCCAGCCATTTGAAATCTGCTTACCTGCCAGTGCATGCTATGTTGCAGAAATCTCTACCTTGACGCCAGATATGTACCAGTTTGAATGGGGCGACGATAGAGAACCCTTTGCTGCTACGTATCCTGGAACACGTGATCCGGATCATATTGATTACAGCACCATTCACTTCTTTACTGATTTTGGCAACTGCATTCCTGATTGTGCTCCAGAAGAGTCCCTTTTTGAGCTTATCCACTTCAGCGGAGACTACGGTGGGGGGAACTGGAGGCTTGTTGAAGATGTTACCACTATTGATGGTGATGCCACTGTGGAAGGCGCTGGCAAAGGTGAAGAGATTATTGGTTGCAAGTATTTGAAAGGCTGCAGCGACACTAACATTTTTCGGGAGGAGTACAGTTTTATCCGTTCCTGTGTCCCATCAACCCGTGATCATTGTCTTAGATTCCTGTTTGGAGCCAGAATCAGCAATTCAAATGAAGGTCTCCTTTACAAGAATGACAACATACTTGTCAAAGTAGACGGAGGAGTAATTGCACAGGACAACAATGCACAGTTCGCTGCAGTGGACTTTGGGGATGCCTGTGTGGATGCATGTGGTGAAAATGAGTCCCTTTTTGAGTTCTTGATGCATCGCAACCAACTTGACAATGAGAATCCACCTCTCAGCTACAAACTCCAGGGTGTAGGAAGTCGAGCTGAAGAAGTAGTTCTCGAACATACATTTGATTCACCAGCGATATACAACAGATCTGCCAACTCTCTCCCCATCAACTATGATATCATTCACTATGCCCGGGAGTGTATTGCGAGAGATGGGTGCTACGAATTTGAAGTATCTTTGCCCTATCTGGAGTGGGATGAAAGAAACCACTCTTGGGATGAGGGCCATTACCAGCTCAAGAAGGATGGAATTGTTTGGAGGAATAGTGAATTCAGCTTTGGTACCTTTCGTGACGAACATAACCAAACGACCAATGTTGGCAGTTGCAAAGTTGGTGAATTGTGCCAGGGTGGAGAGCCTCAGCTTCTGTTGGAAGTCACAACATCTACTGATCCTTCTGACAATCTCACAGAGAATATTTTTTGGGGTGTCTCTCACGAAAATGGAACAGATGGCTCCTTCGGATCCAACCATTATTTTCGTGAAGGATTCCCACCTGGTTCCACATTCAAGACAGTGGGGTGCTTCCCAGATGACGAAGTTGTGAAGCATCCTAATGATACCACAGTCAAAGTGGAGAAGAACTCTGTCGAGCTTGACTGCCGCCTCAAACAAGATGGAGTCTTTGATGGTTATGCAATTGCTCCTCTGAATGGTACCTGCGGGGTAGCGCAGGACTCGGAAGCAGCTGAAGAAGCAATGACTTCAGGAACTGAAGCCCCAACTTCTTCAAGCTCGGGCGCCAGCAGTGCAAGTATCAGTATTGTTGGATCTGTGGCAGTGTTGATGACGGCGATCTTCACCAAGCCATAAGCGACAAACCTGTTGGAAGGAGCAATCAGCAGCTGCCTAAGAAGTGGCAGTGCCCAGTAGTACTTCACGTATTTGTTGTTTGAAGCCTAGTAGAGTCTTACATGTATTATTTAATTGAACCTCCGTTTCAATTATTTGTAGGGTAACTAGTAAAAGTTCATTTTTGCGCCAACAAAACAGAATAGAGAGAGCGGATTACGCTGCCGGGAATTTGCGGGGAATCACTCTCGAATGTACATACATGTACCGTATCAAGCATCCTCTAATCCAGACTCTGATGATGGACCCACACCTGGGCCCATTTTTCTTGGTTTGTCTCTACTACTAGCGACGCTAGTAGATGCCCCGCTCCTGGGGCCACACCTGAACCTGCACCGGTACGGTAGGTATGCATAGTTGCACTCGTACCGGTACCGGTACCGGTACAGGCCCTCATTGTGCGCACATGATGTATTGCGCTTAGAAAGACGTGCACTTCCTCTTACACAGGTTTACCGAATGGAAATTTTCGGAGAGGCAAAATAAATAATGAATGGCCATGACGTTTGAGTAGCTTGGGGGAGTCCACAACAAGGCAAGAAGATCGGCAAACGATCGAGGAAGGAGAGCTGCAGTCTACTAGCTAGCTGATTGTCTATCGCTTGTTGGGAGACTGATTGAGGTCCAGAAGCGATAGCGGCAGCAAAAAGTTTCCATTGTGACAAGAGAAATTGCCACGAAAGATTGGCTTCCTTGCAATAAGGAACATTATTTTATTTGCACGGAGAAGAAAAAGATGGGAGTCCAAGGAATCACCAAGCTCTTGACGACAAGAGGCGTTCTGCCTCCACCGTCTCGTGGCTGTTGTACGACCGAACTGTTTCAGCAGCGCACCCATGAGGACGAATCCACAACCATACTCCCCGAAGGCTCCACGCTGCTGATCGATGGTCCTGGCTTGGCGTTTTATCTCCATACCATTGCCTACTCTCGCTGGGCTCGCAAGGTGACGCAGCGACAAGACAACATAAGCAGCAGCAAATGTCGCGAGACAACGGCCAAATTGACCACGTCTCAACTCACACTGTTGCTGCCCCAGAACCTGCCAAAGTCCTTACTCGTGGATGTCACTCGAGAATTTGTCCATGGACTGTCATTTTTGAACCTCAAAGTCTACTGGGATGGTCCTTCTTCCGCTGCTATTGTCAATTTCAAGGCCACGACATTGAAACGACGTCGCGAACAACGCGAGACGGAATGGAGCAACTTGCAACGCTACTGCGACCATGGTATCTTCCCCAATGACGTTTCCTGTCAAGTCTGTCACGAGTTTCCCTATTCGCAACTCTTTGTGTGCATTGTCCGCGAGACACTTCGACAACTTGTCGACAACAATATAGAGTGTGATGGAGAAGCCGATGCCGTCATGGCAGCGGACGCACGGGACCAACCGGATCACTATGTCGTGGGACAAGACAGTGACTTTTTCTTTTACAAAGGGATCCAGTACATTCCCTTTGCTGGATTGGTACTTGTAGAAAAGAACAACAACCAACAGATTATTAGAGCTCGCGTCTACACGCGACAAGGCATTGCCCAATCTCTGGGATTGGAAGATGGACACATGACGGAACTTGCCTGCATGCTGGGGAATGATTACGTCGATGCCACGACAACCTTCCAGGCATTTGATCGAGATTACGACAAACTCTTGGACTTTTTGGCCCAGCAGGAGGAACACGAGTACCGGCATACTACTAGTGATCCAAGCATGGAAGCAGCCATCCAGTACAGTCGAATACTCTACAATCATGGCGACATGCAAGAGTTAGAGTTACCAGATTCATCAGAGGAAGAAGATAGTGATGGTGAGCAGGACGAGATGGATGTGCAGTTGGGTATTTCGCAACATTCCCGGACATTGCTGCGACGATATGCTACCTTGAAACCTGACGATACATCCGTTCGAGAAGCATGGCTACGGTCGCTGCAGGAAATTGTGGATGCGACTGCGGGTGAGGAGGAACAGCAGACAGTATTCAATGAGGAACATCTCAAGATCTTGCAGCAACAGCAGCAACCACAACGAACCCTGGCAAGCGAACCACCATCTCTGGACGAACGGCCAACCTGGCAAGACATGCTTGCCGCGACATTCATTGAAAAGTGTGCCATGAGGCTGTTCCAGCAGAGTCGCGCATTGAAACGAACAACGGCACCCGGCACACTCTTTGACCATGCCCACTTTTTCCAAGCCATGGCCATGGCACGACGAAAGCAGGCGGAGGCAGAGGACGAAGCAGGTGACACCATTCTATTGAATAATCAGGAACAATCCGCCGCCGAACGTCTACCCACACCCGTATCATTGCCCATTGACGCTCATCGAGATGTCATCCTAGAGTCGATCCGAGACAACCGCGTCACAATCATTCACGGAGAGACTGGCTGTGGCAAGTCATCCAGAGTACCCATTATGATTCTGGAAGCGGCAACGCCCGATCCGTCCCTCTCAACGCACAAACTCTTTATCAGTCAACCGCGTCGAATAGCCGCCAAGGCACTGGTGGAACGAGTGCGGTCGTGTGAGCCCCAACACGCCCAAAAGTTTGCGCTACGCATGGGACATGGGTGGAGAGAGTATGAAAGCTCTCAGACACAAGCATGGTTTGTGACAACGGGATATCTCACAAGGCTGCTCGCCAACCATCCACAAAGATTTGACAATTGTACGCACTTGGTCATTGATGAAGTACACGAACGAAGTGTAGACACTGGTACGTGGAGGAGGTACTGCGACATTGCGTTGTTGCTGCTGTACACTGAATGATGCTGCCCTTCTCACGTTTGTCTTGTTGTCTTGTCCATTCAGACATTTTGTGCTTCCTTTGTCGCCGACTGCTGGAGGAGAATAAACGAATTCGATTGGTACTCATGTCAGCTACCCTGGCTACAAAACTCTACAAAGAATACTTCAACTTACCCAATGATCCAATCCACGTTGGCGTTAGACGGTACCCCATTGAGGAAGTGTATTTGGAGGATCTCAGTCGAATGCAGCTCACCAGTAAGGAACGACAAGCCGTTGCTGCTCTGAGCAAAGAATGTGACTCGAAAAAGTGCAAGTCAGCCCCCGGAGTGCAGATGATGAAGCATCTCCAGACGCTGGCAGCCAATCTTGCCACCATGGTGGGAGATCCTGGTTCGTCTGTGCTGATCTTTGTCGCGGGTATGGCAGAGATCATTGGCATTACAGAGCTCGTGGAGGGTGTAGCAGTAGCGGGGAAACGACTGACGTGCTTCCCAATTCATTCCGACATTCCCTTTGAAGATCAAATGTCGGCCTTTGATTCCCCCGAGCCTGATGAAGTCAAGATCATCATTGCTACAAATGCAGCTGAATCTTCAGTGACTCTTCCAGACGTTGACCATGTGATCTGCTTGGGTCTCTGTCGCCAAATCGTTTATAATGCCTCAAGTCACCGGCAGATGCTGACGCCCACATGGATATCAAGAGCAAGTGCGAAGCAGCGTGCAGGAAGGACTGGCAGAGTCAGACCAGGTACTGTATACCGTTTGTATTCCAGGAACGCCTTTGACTATTATATGGATGAGTTTGAGCCCGGCGAAATGGTCCGGATTCCGCTTGACTCGGTCATCTTGATGTTGAAGGAAATGCTGCATGAAAGCATCACCCCGGTCCTGTTGGACTGCCTAGAGCCCCCAAACACAACCACAATCGAACGGTCGTTTGAGAGTCTGCACCAATGGAAGTTTATCACGAGTCCAGACGATGACGGCGAGATTACGGACCTTGGCTCCTTTGTCTCTTCTCTTGGGATGGACTTGATGTTTGGTAACCTGATCGGGCTTGGAATTCAGTTTGGTGTGGCTGCTGAGGCGATTGAAATGGCCTCCGTCATGTCCTTCCCCAAAACCCCATTCCAAATCACGTCCCCTCTCATCCATTCTCCTGCTGAATTTAATGAAATATCAGCTGCAACTTTTGTTAGCAGATCTCACTGGGATGCCAATCTGTACTCCGATCCACTCGCGATGATGAATTTGATGTGGGAATACGAAAGGGTCAAAGATAAGAAACGGTTTTGCGGGTTCTATCGCGTGGCAATCAATCGTTTTCGCCAGATGGTGTCAACTAAAAACAACAAAAGGAAGCGGGTGGCAGAGTTCCTCGGTATAGAGGAAAGCAAACTCAAGATGCAAGCCCCTCCAGTGCACTTGCCGGCATCTAAGCTTGCCATTCTTCGGATTCTGCAGCTGTGGGTGTTTTCAGACATGATGATCGAGGCGAAACCAGTGCCCGTCAACAAAGCACCCGATGGCACTGTCACGCTCAAGGTGACAACAAGCGATGGGAGGCACCTGTCCTCTGATGATCTCAAGCAAATATTGGACAAACAGCGCCATCCTTTTCGGGTTGAGCTGGACAAAAGAATAACTCATAAGGGTTCCTTCCAGCCGTTGAAACCGTTTGAACTCCCAGTCTTCGAAGAGCGCTTTCTGTCTTATTGCTGCGTTCACGACATCGGTCTTGCGTGGTATTTTTGCGATGGTCGGATGTGCCTCTTTTTCACTGAAAGCTTGGCCGCTGATAGAGACTTCATGGATCTCATGGCAGTTGCATTGGAGGGCGAAAGCTGGATGAACGTGTTGATGGTGGAACGGACGGATGGCAATCGCCGTGGAATATCAGAACGCACCTGCGGCACTTGGATGCTCAAGGATGCCAGTAGCTACAATGCATCCAATGATGAAGTCACGAGAGTGCTTCGGAGATATGAAGTGGACGATCAGAACTCGATTTCGCTGGTGCGTCAATTCAGTGAGATGGCTCTAGAGACCAAGTATGTGTTCTCCAAACTAGAATTTACATTCTCAGAACGAAGGGGTGGAAAAAAGAAGAAGAAGGCAAAGAAGGCACTCCCATCCTTTGTCGTGTGCGTCGAAGGGTCCTGTTCCGAGATCAACAAAGTCGACATGTTCGACTTGCTGCAAACGAATGATGCGACGTACACCACCTCGAAAAAAGGCTTTACCCAGAATCTCTCTTTTGACCATGTACCAAACAACCCGAAGATATTTGGCAAGTCGGAAGATTTGCTTGCAGTCAGCCATGCAACCGAATCCAGCAGTTGGAAGAACCCGCTGTTTGCCGACATTCCAGAAAGTGCTCGGTTGATCACTATGCTAGCTTCGGGACAGCGCAAGGGGGGGCAGAAGATTGTTTTACAATCGAAAAGGACGAAACAAATCGAAGGAAATTCAAATTTTGAGGAGGAGTGGGAGGAGGAAGACGAGGAATTCGACCTGAATCTAGGGAAAGAAACCCGCATGGCATTTCGCTGGAAGCGACTCAGTCGAGGAGGAACGGTTTATGTTCCAGAGAATTGTGTCCCAGCAGTAGCCACAAGCCCGCACCATCACTTGTTCGCATGCTGCGCCAATGCACTGGAAGTGGGAGGCGGTGGCCTTCGGGTGGACTGCTTGACTCTGCTTCCCACAGACCCCCTATTTGTTGCTCTTGGTTTCCTATCCTTTGGTCTTCAGGTTCCTGGGGCGACTGTTTCCACTACTTCGTACGATAGCGATGACAGTAGCTACTCTGGCGACCCCGACGATTTGGAGGTTTCAAGTCTCCTGCTATGGATCGGAGCCCGATGCCCAAATGACGAAGTTATTGCCAAGAGTCACAGTTTTTGTGCATTCGAGCTTGACGAGACTATGGCTTTCGAAAAGATAAAGGAGGCCATTGCATTCCACCGATCCTGTTCAACGCAGGGAGAGTCTCTTCTTTGCTTCCCATCAGTTGTCATTGATCTGTGCAAACTATTTGATGGAGTCGGGGGGAGGGAATTGGAACCTTGGAACATTGCAGAGTGCTCGCTCACAGCGAATAACTTGAAGCAGTGGAGAAGGGAGAGGAAGACCGTTACGTCCAGCAACGCAGATGACACGCCAGTCAGCGACATCCCCCAGCCAAAACCACAGGAGAGTACAAAGAAGCAGAAGAAGCGTCGGAGCAGAAGTGGAAAGAATGCGCGGCAAAAGGCTAGAGAACAATTTTCCTTGGAATCGAACGAGCAGAGCGATAAAGAGAATGGTAAGAAAGTGGCGGCACCCATCGTGAAATCCAGACAACCAACGGCGAAGGAGCATGGAAGTCAAAGTGGAGCAAAGAAAAGCCAGGGAGAAAAAACTTCAGCCTCGAGCAACGAGAAAGCGGAAAATGAAGAAGACAATATGAGGAGCCTTGCGTCCAAGTTAGTTTTGAAAGACAAGAAGCAGGCAAAAGGTGTCCGCGTTGGAATGACGGGCAGGGTTTCGAAACAACACCAAAACATGTTCGTTGCCAAGTCGCCAGAGGGGGAAACTGTGCTGGTGTCAACCAACGTGCTTGCGATGCTCCTCAAGGAGGTCGGTGGTGCTCAGGAACAGCAGACAAACAACAAAGTCAACTGGAAGAATTGGAAAGTTCTAAAGCTCGTACTCGAGGGTGGCGAAACACTCTACAGAGCTTGCTTTGAGACCGGAATTATCCCACTGGCGCCTGTCGAGGGAAGAGGGAAGAATCTCTTGCCCAAATGGATGCGGAAACAACCCCGTCCTGTCTGGGCAAACGATGCTTTGGAGTGCATCCCGCCGGCAACACGGAAAGCTGCGGTGGAATCGTTCGAAGTTCAATCACCAGGCAACCATCAGTTATGGTTTCGCACAATCGACGCCGCTCTTCGGATGGAGGCAGCTTTCTGGTTGGAAAGGCAATTCTCGTTTGGAAAGAAGAGCGGCGACAACAACAAATCGAAGGTCGTTCGGCATTGGTATGACCAGTCATTGACGGAGATGGCCGAAGCTGTCAAGAGCCGATCAGCAGAGAACTAGCTTTAGGAGCAAATGCCAGAACGATGTGTTGAAACGCCAAAATGATAGTGTTGAAAGTTTGAAATAGACTAAGACTAACCATGCCAAGCATGCCGTTACTCCTCGAGCTCTGCGTAGCCCTTTCGAACAAAGTCATCCTCGTCACTGTCGTCCTCGTGAAACGTCGCCGTTGACAGATGGTCCCGCATAAACTTGGAGGTGTTCACGCTGGCATTCACTGTCCCCTTGCCAAGTTTCGCTCCTGCCTTCGCTACTTTTCCAACCCCTCCACCCGCAAACGTTCCAGCCGCGACGCTCGCTTTCACAACTGCGCCACTCATTACAGCCATGCCCTTGGCGCCACCCATCACGGCGCCCTTCATGTTTCCTCCGATCGCTTTCAAAGGAGCAAAAGCATGCTTATCCTTGCTCGCGGTTTCGTCGTCTTTTGTTTTGACATCTGCTCCTGTTGAATTGGTACGTCTCGGTAGACGCTTCTTTGTTTCCTTGCGAGGAGCGTCGTTGTCCTTCGTCTTATCACCTAGGGAAAGGCGGCGGCGGATAGGGAACCCACGTGGCTCTTTTTTTGATGTGTTGTTGTCCTTCTTTTTCGCGTCAGCTCCAGTGGAGTTGGTTCGCCTTGGGAGACGTTTCGTTGTTTCCTTGGCGTCGCTGTCCTTGTCACCAAGGGAAAGCCGTCGTGCTGGCGTCTTTTTTGTTGTGCCCGTCTGGCTGCTGTTCGCGCCGTTCATCAAGCTGCTGCCGCAATTGGGACAAAACCGAGCCCCCTCAGGAGCGCTGGTGGATCCACAAACAGCACACTCGTTTTGATCAGAGCTCGTCGGCAGGGAGTTTGATCGTCGAATCGGGCTCTTTTTCTCCTTCTTTTGACTATTTGCTTCGTTTTCTTTCCCCCCGTCTGGTTGCCTTTTTATGGCGTCCTTGCTGGCTTTCTTGCTGGCTTTCACTACTGCTGCCCCTCCTTGAGCGACACCACGCCCCACTGCAGATCCTCCTTGAACAACACCTCTCCCCACCACAGCGCCTCCCTGAACCATCGCGGAACCCACCACAGAGCCACTGTCAACAACAACCTTCATGGCGTCTTTCATGCCATCTGCCATTATGCTTGTCAGGGAGGCTCGGCGTCTCCTGGTATCTTTTTTTGCACTGCCACTATCTTTGGATCCATTTTCAGGCGGTGGGAAGCTCTCATTCATAAAATGAGCTTCAAAGCCCGCTTCTACTTCGCCCGTTCCCCACTCAACGGGGAAGGTGCTGTTGTGTCCGGATCCCCCGTTGGGAGGAGGGAAGCTGTTGCTCCCTTCACCCGTTTCCCAGTCAACGGGGAAGGTGCTGTTCTCTCCGGATTCCCTGTTGGGAATTGGGAAGCTGCTGCTCCCTTCTTCGAAGGGACTCCAGATTTTGTGTTGGTGGTCAAGGGCAGTGGGCGGTGGTTCGTACCTGTCTGCTGCTTTCTCGAGTTCCATATCCCGTTGTGGGTTGGCGCTCTCCGCAAGAGAAATTCCCAGTTTGAAATCGTTGACCTCTTCAGGTTTGGTTTGCGAAGCGGAAAGATCACGCAGCTTTTGTTTGATTGCCTCTGCATTGGCCCGCTCGCCCATCTCCGGGTTGGCGTCAGGCATGTCATTGTCGGGCGGTTCTTGCCCCCAGAGTTTCATCTCTCGTTGTTTCTTCAATGCAGTGCCCAGCCTGCCGAAATTATCGAAACTGTCGTGATTTGATTTGATGTCGTGGCCAGTCACAAATCCTCCAGCCCCGCGGGGCATTTCCAGAGAACCAGAACGTGCCCGTCTGGTGCTTGCGTCCTGACTGCGCGATCTTGTGCGACTACGCTCGACCCTTCCGGCTGATCTGTGAGGACTTCGTCCGGATCGTTCTTCTCGCGGGTTGTGCTTTCGGTCGGATCTTCTGGGGTCGTGGAGAGCAGTGCGCTCCTGACTCTGTGACCCCCGCTCTCTTCGGGCCTTTGTGCGCGGTCCCATCCCGCGCTCGCCGCTGCGGGATCTGCTTGGTTTGGCGCCGTCCTCGATGCTGCTGTTGTACCGTCGTGGCTTTGTTTTCCTCGTTTTCTCTTTTCTTGCTCCTTGGAGGACACCGTCGGAAGAGAGGTTCTTCTTTGGCCTGTTTCTTGGCACTAGGGGGATACCATCAGAAGACTTGCTCTTCTTTGGCGGCCGCCGCCTCGTTGGTTTGGCACTCCCGCTCGCTGCGGGCGAAGCCACCGATTTCGCATTAATTGGCCCCATGTCGAAAGTCCTGGATTCGAACGGTTCAGCGCCAAGATCCTTCTGTTTCTCAGCCTCGTCAATTTCTTTCATAACTTCCTCTTCGGGGGTTGGACCCTCTGGGTTGCTCTTCAAGTTGTCCGTCAGAAGGTTATGGATGCTTCGCAAAGTCTTTTGCACACGCTTCTTGGCCGCCTTTCTTTTCTTCTTCTTGGACTTTTTGGTGTTGTCGGATAATGCTGCGGCTGGCTTGGCTGGTTCCACCCTTGTGCTCTCTGGATCTTTTCCCAAGTGATCATTGGACTCTTGATCCTCTACAACCTTTCTCGCTTGATCCTTTCTTTCTTGATCTTTTCTATCTTGATCTTTTCTCTCTTGATCTTTTCTCTCTTGATCTTTTCTCTCTTGATCCTTTCTTTCTAGATCTTTTCTCTCTTGATCTTTTTTCTGTTGAATGCTCCAAGCCACATCGCACTGGTCCTTCAGAGGGGCGACTTTTGCCACCACAACCGACACCTTGTTCTTGGTCTTTCCTCCGGTTGCTGATTGTTGTTCGTGTTGTTTGCTTCTACGGCTCTTGCCGCTGGCGACCGAATCACCATCCAAATCCCACTTTGGCATTCCGGCCATGATGTCCGCCGCCGTGGCTCTTTTCTTGGGGCTCACTCTCGTAGGCGTCAAGAGCTGGGTGAGCTCCAAAAGCCCTTGTTGTTGTTTCTGGTTTCCGTGGTGAAGCATGGCTTGTTCTGCTACCGAAATGACATCTGCAATGGTGATGTCGTCGTCGTCGTCATCTTCGTCATCGTCCGAGTCGGAGCTGCTCTCTGATGAGGAATCATCGTCATCTTCATCGTCTTTTTCCACGTTTTCCAATGCTTCGAGCACATTGACAATTCTATGTACGTCCGCTGTCTTTTTGTCCGGCCGTTTGGGGGCTTCTTGTTGCTGCCTCTGTTGCTGTCTCTGTGGCTGCTGTTTGGGGCCCTCGCCCTCCTGCTTGGCGTCGTTCTTCTTCTCGACTGCGTCCTCTTTGCCGACATCGTCCTTTTCGTCTTTGTCTCCTTCGCTGGGGGGTGTTTCCGTGCCCGTGGCTTCGCCTTGGGACACGAGTCCAGCGGCCAAGTTGAGTGCTCGCGTCATCCAATTGAGTTCTTGTTCTTTGGATAGTACAATCGGTGGTGAGTTGTTGCCATTGCTGACTCGTTTCTCTTCTTTTTCTTCCTCCTCCTCGACTACTACGGGAGCCTTCTTGTCGATAATTTCGGCTTGCACAACATGCAATGTTCCAAAGGTTCGGCTCTTGGAATGTTTCGTGAGTGTCATGGGTTGTCGTTGTCGTTTATTGTGGAGAAGTTCCCTGACGGTAGCTTGACTAGACCCCATTTGTACGGGCCGATCTTGCTCTTCCCACAAGGAAAAGTTAATTGGCATGTCCAAATCGCCACCACAGAGTTCGTCCAGCGACAACGTCCACTCTTCCCACGTGGGGTTTTGGTTGTGGGGCACTACTTTGGATTGGAAAATATCGCGAAACAAACTCCCATCATCTTGTTGTCCGGGTTGTAATTTGGCAATGCGACAAAAGCGATTGACGGCCACGTCTTGTCCAATTCCCACGGGCATTTCTTCCAGGTTTTCGCCGCGCAGAATGAGACGTAATAATTGTTTGTCTTTTTGGCGGGTCTCTTTTCGTTTGGAAGCACTGGATCTAGCTGGGGAAGTGCGTGTCACTTCTTTTTTGTTGTGGTTCTGTTGTTGTTGTTGTTTCGAGGAGGCGGATTGTCGTGATGGTGAATTATTGTTTTGTGTTTTTTGGTCCTCTTTGGGGTTTGCTTCTTCGGCTGCCGCCACACTAGACCGTTTGAACCACCCCATGACACCATTGGTTGGCGCTTCTGGTGGTGCATCCGCATTGGTAGCAAGAATAGCTTCCTCCATCACAGCTTCCAATCTTGGCTCTGGTTGTTGTGTTGGTTGTGTTTCTAGGGGTTCAATTTCATTGACAGCCAAAACAACGGAGACGGATCCCACTTGCTGTTGATCTTGCATGAGAGAAAATCGAAAAGCATTGGGATCCAAAAAACCTCCCGACGATCGATTCAACAATTCCTTGACGGTGGTATCAAAATGTCCCATGGGCACTTTTGTTTCATCAATTTGTCCCTGATCAAAGACTTGAATGCGAATGGGTCGTTCCATGTCGGAGTGGCAGGAATCTTGGCATCTCACTTTGACCAAGGGCCACACTGGATTCAATTCCGCCGGAATCGACTGGGATGTCGCCACGGGCTCCCATTGATCGAGGGATCGTCGGTACGCACAGACGGAAAAGGCCGGACTCGAGACGCGTGCTTTTACCCAACCCGTCGCGACATTGGTCAGGTGGAATCCGGCCAATTGCAAATGAAGCGTCGCATCTGGGTGAATGGCACACGATAGCGTTCGCATCTCCGCCGTCACGGCAGAGGGGCGATCGAGGAGTGTCATGGTTGTTTGGGTTTTTCCAATATTTGGTGCGCAATACAATCGAGAGTGTTGTGTTGGGAAGGTTTGTCGAGATTTAAAGATGGATGAGAACAGGTTGAGGAAAATTATGGTGGCTCGTGCCTCAGTCGAGCTTTCCTATGAACCGTGAACCCTAAAGACTTGTTGCACCTCCCAGTCGGAAAAGCGGTGTCCGGTCATTGTAGGGATTTATTATTTAATAGTACCACCGGTACGCCTTAACTTTCTCAAACGTGTGGAGTATCTGTGAAATGACAGCAGTCGCGGAAGTATGTATGTACAGTACCAGTACTTTAGTGTATTTTAAAAGTTCGCACACATACAGTTATAATACTATTAGTCTAGTACTAGCTAGTCTTAGAGCAGCTGTTGAGACGTGGACGATCTTCTTCGTATTTTGGTAGAACACGTCGTACGACTGTATTGGCACAGTACCGCGCCGATATTGATCGAATCCTGCTCTCTTGACCAAGCTACCAAGCAGGACGAAATTGGCAACTCCCCACAAACTTGGACCCGTGTTGGCCTCTTTGGTTGGTCGAAGACCAAAATGGGTCTTTTTACGAGCTTTGCAATCCGAGGTGTCCAATCGTAGCTGTTGGTTCAGTCAGTAAGTCAGCTGCAGGTACCACGGTACCGCCGACTGCCATGCTTGGTTCCATCACACATTTGGCTTTTTTAAAATCTTCTGGCTCTTACCGCAACAGATTGCGGATCTACGGTGTTGGTGGACTACTCACATTGGGCACTGCATCAAAGTTCTTGTACGACAACAACAAGCAAAAAGGGAATTCACCATTGAGCACTTTTGTTTGGTCGTAATGGGCTTTGCCATTTTGAATTTTTCTGAAAAGCGATTGAGAGCGTTGCTGGGTACTACTGCTAATAAGTACTGCGTGTTTCATGATGACACTCTAGCTAGCTAGCTAGTCGCACTTAGCTATCTTGTAATGGCATGTGTCTTGAGACTTGAGATGGTTACATAGTATCGTACTCTCTGCAAAAAACGATCGTTGCGATGAACAATCCGCAGTTTCCGAAACGTTCGCAACAAACAACTCTTGAGGTATCCACACTTTCTTGCTGGCTGTGTATTGTTGTTCGTTCCAAACTGATTATTGAAGCATTCACATTCATTCATTCACCCAACACCAACTTCCCTCGCAAGCAAGAAATTTGATGGGGGATTTCACAGGAGCATTGGCATTCATCTTCGGACAATACCAAAGTTGGCAACTTCCCTCGTGAGCAAGCAACCTCGTGAGCAAGCAATTTCACAGCGAATTCCACAGGGTTCTTGGGCCGTGGATTGCCGTTGTGCGTCTACTTGCGATCAATGTCTGTTTGGTTGCTCTCGAGACGAATAAATTTATGGAGCTACTGATCCCCTTCTTCTTGCGTTGATTTCTTTTTCTTGCCTCGTTTCCTCTTCTTTTTCCTCTTGGTGTTGACGCTTGGACTGTTGTCGTCACCATCTGGCGTCATTTTATTAGTATTCACCACCCACCCTTGAGCTCCCACATTCTCTAATGCCTGCTCGAGCCAATAGGATTGCGTCAATGGTTCATAATGATATTGATATTCATGTCCATGAACTCCATGCAAGACAATAATTCCTTCCCATTCCAACTGTAACAATTCGGGTGTCAAATGAAGATAGGAATCGACCCATACAATGGGCAAATCGGACAAGACTTGCCGATACCATGAATTTTCTTCCAAAATGGGAATGACACCCAATGCCAATGCCGTGGCAATCCATTCTTCCAACACATAGTTGCGACGTTGTTTTTGTCGCAGTTTTTTGTTAATTGGTACAATGACAAATTGAGTCTGTTCGAGTGGATCCAGCAATGTAGCAGTGGGATTTTGAGGGTCGGGGAAAATGGTGCGAATCATATTGTTGTTGTTGTCTTGTGGTGGTGGTTTGGATTTGGATTGTTTCTTCTTGTCGTCATCTTTGTTGTCATCTGGAGGAATAAAGCTCAGCGTCAAGTATTCTTGTATCGCTTCGACGCGAGTTTCATCGGCATGATCTCCCAAGACAAGCAGAAGGTTGCTGTCGGGCATGTTTTGATGTGGCAACTTCTTTTCCAATATGAGATCCTGAGACCCAATAACAGTAATGGGTGACATGGGTTGTAACTTGCTAGTATTCAATACCTGCACGGCTGTGGTATTGTGATCGATCATGACGGCAATTGTCTCTGGATGATCCAGATAGTCCTGTAGGTATTCCAAGGAACATCCGTCCTCTCGCCACGCCGCGATTGGATCCTCATTTTGCGTGTCGTCGTCCTCTTTTTGTAAAGGTGATTTTGGTGGAAGTTGTTGCTGTCGCCACCACGCCACATGCGGTCTCGCCTGGGCGACGGGAGACCCGCGATAGGTTTCGTAGGCTCGTGCCAATGTACACAGATTGTCGGATTGTACCAAATCAAACGTTTGATTATTTGTACTAGGATTGGCGGTTGGCAATTGGAAAATGTCAAAATCATCTCGAATGATTTGCCACTCCAACGTTGTTATTGACAAGGACTGCAGGGCAGTTGCGTGATGATCGTAGAATTGTCGTTCGTCCACATGATCCTGCCAAAGATGATTTTCCGTCGAATGATGAATATGATGATGGCGTAGATAATGGCTATCACTTTGATGACGAATGTCGCCAACGATCGGTGCCAGCATCGAAGAGATCATCGCCACCGTGGAGTACGTGACGGAAAATAAAACCACGAAACATCCCACACTCTTGGGCATCTTCATCAAACAATAGATAGATAGAAATATACAGGTATACAGAAATATAATATGAGAGGGACAACGGACCAAGAACCAGTTGCTGTGCTTTGTCAGTCTCTGGGTTGCTCTGGTTACGTCCTGTCCAACGTGACCATCCGATTTTGCGTTCCGCGTAACAATCTGGCACTCAATGAAACGCCAGCAGAGCTGTCAACATTGCTGGTGATGGCTTGTATAAACCAAAGTCTCATTCCACCCTCCAACGCCAACAGCCATTACCCATCGCACAGCCCGACCTCGTACCAGTATTTAGAGGGATCCATCGCATTACTGCACCCCTTGGCATTCTCTGTCCTCTAGCTAGCTACTCCAGTACGTAGTTGGTATGTCTTCGTTGCCATTGTCAATAGGGGACCACGAGAAGCAAGGATCGGAACGAACGGCATCCGGAGAAGAACAAAAGATACAAGATGACATTGATGTGGAAAATAATAACCCTCCAACCACGACCACCTTGATGGCCGAAACTATTCTTATTCTTGCGCAATCCGAATCATTGGAATCATCTCCAGAACCATATTCTGCTGTTACTAGTATGGAGGAAGAAGAAACACGCGCCACCAAAAAGGAGGCCACGAATGATGTCAATATTCTTGACATCGAAAGACAAGAAACCAGTGAATTTACCAAACAGAGCACATCTTCTGTGGACATGGAACTGTTAGCAGAACGAGCCAGTGTCGCACTGGCACAACATCTACAAGAAGAAGAAGAAGAAGACATTGGGAAGCAAAAAGTGACTGAAGACAAGGCGGAAAAGGAAGCAGAGCTAGAGACTCCTGAACCAGCACAACAACCCACCATCGAGCTGGCAGAGGGGGAAAACGTTCCCATTGTCCAACTCACCACCTTACGGCAATCCACACCCCAGCAGAGGCAACAACCATCCCGTCCAGGGGCATACATGGGGGCTCCTGGAGAAGACTTACAACGCACCGAGACGCTTCGATTCTCGCTGGTGGGTGCCAACACGGATCCGTTAGTACATATACCAAATAATATGGAAGAGGATTCCTTATTGGCAGAACCCAACAACAATCAAAACACAATAATAAGCAATGACGAGCAACAGCTGGCCGTGGCAGACTTGGTGGAGGAGGATCTGGAGGAACAAGAGCAAATGACAAGGCCATCGGCGAATCCCGTTGATTTGGACAAGGTGCGGGAACAGCAAGAGAACCAAAAGTGGCACCTGAGGAAGAAATTCGTCTGGTTTCTAGTCGCCGTATGCATTGTGACGTTCATTATTATTGTGGGTGCCGTGGTTGGGACCCGAAATCAAGAAACGGAAAAGACCTCAACACCAACCACTCCTTCCCCATCCACAGAACCACCCTCGCAAGTACCATCCGCTGCCCCCACTGGAGTTTTGGATTTGTTGTTGGATAGTCTACCCAACTCGACTTTGGTCGGCATCAACAGTGGCGGTAGTGAAAGTCCTCAGTGGAGAGCATGGCAATGGCTAGTCAATCATCAGAATATTACAAACCTACAAGAATGGAGAAAGACACAGCTATTTGCTCTGGCTTGTTTCTTTTACTCTTTTGAGGGAGACAAGTGGTACAGTCCCATTCAAGAGAGATGGATGGATGACACAAAGGAGGAGTGTCAATGGTTCTCTAGTGGCATTGGCATTTTCATTGCTGGAAAATATCAAGAATATCCAACTCATATACGAGCATTCCCATGCAATGAATATGGACAATTCACATCTCTTCATTTGGAAGATCTACAGCTTTCAAATCTTGCTCCATATATTCCTTCAGAGATTGCACTCTTGACTTCCTTGTCCCGTCTACAATTGAGCTACAACGACATTGCTGTACCATTTTCATCACTGTTGCCTACAGAATTATACCACCACATGACTGCTTTGACTCTTCTCAATCTCTGGGAAAATCAGATTTCCGGACAGGTCGCCACAGAGATTGGACTCTTGTCATTGCTGTCAAGCTTCTGGTTGGATAACAACAAGATCAACGGCCAAATCCCTACAGAGCTGGGACTGCTCACTGACTTGACGGAAATCAATCTTTATGTCAATCAGTTCTCTGGACTACTGCCTACGGAGCTTGGGCAACTGACTTCTCTGACGGCATTGAGATTGTTTGAAAATCAATTGACGGGTAGTGTGCCAGCACAGCTTGGATATTTGAACAATTTGACTGTTATAGTGTTGGATGACAATCAGCTGACTGGTAAACTTGAGACCGAGCTTGGATTGTTGTCGTCCTTGAAGATTATGAATATCAATAGCAATGAGTTGGCTGGCCAAATTCCTACAGAGTTTGCACTTTTGACATCCCTGACTGCTCTGAGATTGAATGATAACATGTTGACGGGCCCACTTGGTACAGAGCTTGGTCTTCTGGATGATGTAACTACCTTGTGGCTGGATGGGAATCAGTTTACAGGTCATATTCCTTGGGAGCTTGGCCAAATGAAGCATTTAAATTCCCTGACTTTGAATGAAAATCTGCTGACTGGCTCAGTCCTTTCCGAGCTTGGTCAACTGACCAGTTTGGTCTATTTGTGGTTGAATGAAAATCAGTTTACTGGACAAATTCCGTCTGAGTTTGGACGGCTGTCCTGGTTGGAAGAGTTGGACCTTTCTTTCAACCTCTTAACAAGTACAATCCCAACTGAAGTTGGCATGCTGACATCATTGAGATTGCTGGACCTCCGCCACAATAGCTTGACAGGACCCCTCCCCCAACAGCTGAATGGTACTTTTGACTTGAGACTGGAAGGGAATCAGCTCTCAGGAAGCGTACCATAAATCCCAGGAAGATTTCCCCCCTGAACTGCTCTTGATTCTTTGGCAACCACTCTCAATATCAAAAACTGATAGGTACCCAGGGGATACTGAATCGATTTGGCAGCAACAAACGACCGGGAGACTGTTCAAGAATCTGGTGATCAGTTAGCACTCAAACATCGAATTTGCTCATTTCTCCTTCCCCTACTCGCCAACACAACTTACAGATTGCTGATCTTTGACAGCTATGGTGATGGTATCTGGTCAGGATGGATCATGCGTACAGCATTCAATCAGACAGTGTTGCATTCTTTGGCGAAATGAGCCTTTGAGAACATAACACTGCGTGTCAGATCTGACGCGATGGACCCATTGAATGTCAATCAGATTGTTTCTAGACTCTGTCCAAGAGCAAAGCAAATCCCAGTGCATATAGGTGTCTACTTCAAAGATATCAAAAGGTATCAAACGTAACATGAACCATGGTTAACTAGAATTGGTTATGCCGAATAAACTTGGAGCCGCATACTTGAATTCATCGGGGACTACCGAGCTACGTACAGCTCGTGGCTGAAGACTGCACTATTCTTTTGTTGATCCATCTTGTTGTGTGGCAAAGAAACCAATGTAAACATCCATGCGACAGCTAGCTATAGCTATCCAATACAACCCGTCAGTTCAAATATAAAGGCACTCGTTAAGGTAAAGTCGAGTGCCATGTCAATGCCGCCACCCACCAATATATCTGCGTCTGCCAAGATTGATGCTCAATTACATGTATCAAATATGGCTCGGTTTCCCATGGTGCTGAAGCTAAAGAGAAACGAGAGTTCAGCACCAAGACCCAATTATCCTCCAGCACACGCCCGATGGTAGGTTGCGGTACCTGGTACCATCATTGAGGTCGGATGGATTGCCAAACACACTCATACCCCAAAATATCCAATCATTCCTCATCAGTGTCCACGAGGTCTTCTCCATTGCTAGCGGCCTCCGCTTCTTTCTTTCTCTTTTCAACCAATATTTGCAGTTTGTTTTCTTTACGGAATCGCTTTTGAATCCCTTGGTCAATTTCTTCCAATTCTTGTTTGGAAAAATCAAAATGCTTCAGAGGGATCCGATCTTGCAATTGAGTCCGTCGTTTGTCTTCTTGGACTTCTTCGGGTGTTTGGTTGCTGAAATCCAGTTCCTCTTCCTCCGAACTAGAATCGTCGATGCTCTTATTGTTGGTTCTAGTATCGTCACTATTGGTAGTCATCATGGCTTCCTCTACTGTGTTTGTGTTGCTCATCGTGTTGCGTTAGGTCCAAGGATTGTGGTGGCAGGTCTGACGACTGGACTGTTGCTCCGTTGCTCCTTTGCTCCATTGCGAAGGCTGGCTCAGTTGGTCCCAGTTCTGCTGGCTGACACGCCGTGGAAAAGCCAAACATTTCCACGCTCCGAAACATGCCCCTTCTTGCTGTCATTGCTGTCCTGACAACCTACGGTGTACTAGTACAGCCACCTTCCGAAAGCCTTTGCTGTCATGCGTCCTGCCTTCTTTGATCATTGTTGCTTCAAAGTTTGTTTCTAGTTTCTTTCAAGGAACTTCTATTGTGTGATTGCTCGAGGAGACTCTTCTATTGCAGCGTGCATCAAGCCCCAAGACGGAGGGTGCATCATACATTGTACAAAGTTTGTCTGCCTGTTGCAAACCAGCATGTTTGCACGTTCATGAGTTTCATTGCAAGCAGTTTGATTTGTCTACATTGGCTACGGTAGCTCTGACGGCTACTGTAATGGATGTTGCCTTCTTCTATGGAGCACCTCATGAATGAAATTCTACGTTTTCTTGTAGAGAAGCAAGAGCTTCTACTGCAACTGATACTTCAGAGTTTCCGGTAGAAAGCCTGAAGAACTATAATTGTAATATGAGGTGGACCCTTCGATCTTTTGTGGCTTCCTGCTTGCTATAGTAGGACATATGCAACCTGCATTCTTTTGCGGCCTCCTGCTTGCTATAGTAGGACCTAAGCGACCTGCATGTGGTGGCAATTTCGTGACTCGCACGAATGGTTCACATCCCAATACTCTTTCTGAAAGATTGGTTTCCTGGAGCCGTCTCCATGAATAGCCGTCTTCCTTGCTACTGGTACCAAATGTGGCGACAAGAGCCCGGGATAGCGAAAAGGCCACGGGGCCTCCTGGCTCCTGGTGCATGTTCCTCGTAAGGCTGGCTTTGACCTCCCGATGCTACGTTTTTGATACGGCGTCATTGACCATTGTGAGGAAGTAGCAATGTTGTGTCATCTGGGTGCTCGTCGCCTCACCCGCCAAAAACAATTCTAAGATTTCTTTTCGAAACACCCCGACGTCACGTTGCTCCGACTGTACCTGGGACCGGTACAAGAGAGTTTGCAGTTTTTGGCCTGGTTTGCGGCGACGATCCAAGCCATTGGCAACGACTCGTCACTCATAATCACCAAACCGGTAGTTTGCTTCCGGAAGCATTTGTCCTTCTCGTGCAATTTGTGTTGGCACTGCTTTGTAAAAGCAGACGACGTATCCTAGGTTCGTTCCAGCTCTGTAGTAAGGATCCTTTTGTTGTCCTTCCAAAAGGAATGGTGATTGTGGCGTGCAACCTGAAGTAGGAGGGCAGGAAACGCAGGCAATGCGTCATCAACCTTCAGCCTCGACGATATCTTCGTCTCCTTCTCCATGCTCGGCTTTGGGCTGTTCTGCATCAGTGTCGCGACGTTCCGACACGCCGACCATGTTTTCCAAAGCTGAGTCGTCTTCTGGGATTGTAAACTCAGTGCCACGGTTTCCTGACTCGCCCAATTTTGCCTTGAGTTCCTGGATTTCGCTCAGAAGCTTTTCGTTTTCAGACTTGCGTTCCTGCGTATTATCTAGCAGCTTTTGATGTTCCTCACTGAGCCGGCGATATTCATCCAACGTATTGAAAATGGCAATTCCTTCCCCTGAATTCTCCAGAAGGTTGTTGCTTTCGAGCACGTCCTCTACTAACCCGAACCGCACGTTTCTGTTCCTGGACCACATTTGGGAACCTGGTTGGCTTTGCCCTCCCCTCCAACCAGTCGAAGTGTGGTCTCGAAGGGATCCCAGGTTAATGGACGATCTTCGAATTGCAGCTGTTTGGTCAAACCCCTTTCTGGCCGCCATAATCTTGGGAACAAAAAGGAAGAGCAAGACAGCGGTACAGATGACAAAGATGATGCAAGTGATCAGGAAGAACTCGGCCTGTGGATTGTCCGACACGATAAAGATGGTCGGCACTCCAACAAACGACACCAGCAACATGCATGCGACAGCCTTGCCGATGTAGTCGCTTTCTGCAAATTCCGTTGCGATGCCACGGGCGACATATGACTGATACGACGCCAGGACAAGAGCACCAAGGTCCATAACCACCAACGTGACCACGAACGGCGTATTCTTGTCGGAAACACAAGATCCCCGAGACTCGGTGGGCCTACCAAACATCCCCCTGACCGTGACCTGACGATCCCATTCCAAAGGTGACACTGCCGTCCATAACGCAAGCACCATTACGTTCAACGTTATGAGAAACAGCAACGGAGACATGACATCAAAGGCCGATAAGATGACCCTGTGGTACGTGGGCTGATTCATGATCCTGTACACGCGATATGTCTTGGAGAAGAGAGCGGCAAAGATGAGGACAAACCCAATGGAGGCTAGCCAAGGGAATGCCATGCAGGCAATGTCGCAACCTGCTTCCGTTGCAATTTCGTCGTCGATACTGAGAGGTACAATCGCCATACCCATAGTGAGAGTTCCCAAGCACAATAGAAGGAGGAAGATTGGCTGGGAGATGCATGAACGAGAAACGTGAGCTGCATGCTTTCATCTTGATACGGCGGCCCCGACACTGGGCACTTACCTGCGATGCCTTGACGACGTGGACGTTTCTGTTGTAGATGGTCCATCCGGCAAATCCAAGAGACAGCAACGCCACAAAGACTGCCATGGCCAGACCGGCGGCTCTCATCGGCGTCCCAATGTAATGGTAGTTGGTCTCTGGCGGTGGTAGGTCACTAGGAATGTTGGCGGTCCCATCATTGTATACGTAGGGCGCTTCTTCAACCCACTCTCCGTTCAAGAATAGATCGCTATCCACCACTTTATATGTGACATGTGTATCATTGACCGGTACCTCAATGGCATTTCCGATTCGAAAGATGGCTGTCGTGGGAAGACGAGATCCCGTCGATGGATCCAATGTGACATTTCCTGGTGAAGAACACGGTAAGCTCAGAACACGGGAACTTCAATAGCATCAATGCAGTGCATAGATTTCAATATCAGTGCAAACGTACCGGTGGCACCGTGAAAGGTGGTGGATACAATGTGTTGGAACATGCCTTTGCCGTCAACGGAAATAGAGTCTTCACTGTCGGCCGATGCAGCGCAGGCTGCCAAGCCTAGCATGATAGTCTCATCAAACAGAGTGGAGGCAAAGATACTCGGGTCGCTCTCAAATGACGTGGATGTGACCACGGGCCCTTCAAAGTCCGGCTCCACGTACTTTGGCAGTTGGGATGTGAGATACTCCAAATCCTCATCATTGGCAAGCTGCTTCCATCGTTCTGCAAACTTGTCAAATTCGGGAATGCCAGGCCTCCCGTTTTGGGAGGAAAAGCTACCAATGCCGCGGGTAGCTCTGTGAAGGTCCGACCCCTTTTCCACCGTCATGCTAGACGCCAAAATGTTTATTGCTCCGCTGTTGAAAAGCCAAACATGTTTCCCCGTCCCAGCAGTGCCTTTGCGTACTGCAATGGACATGATGGGGTTGTAATACCGGGCCGATCCAAAGAGGCCAAATCCTCCCGTCGGGGATTGGTGGATTTGGTAACGACGAACAAAACATTCCTTGACGGGGCTCTGGGGGAACAACAAGAGCAGCTTGGATTCTGTCATATCGGACTCGTGATTCCATTTACCATCCTGACAGACAAGGGTAGGGCGCGTTGCAATTGTCCCTTTGAGGACGTCTTCACGGGAGGCATGGCTGCCGTTCATCTGGCGATGGATATGCTCAACAAGGGAGATGGGTCGGTCGTCCCAGAGATTGAGGGTTTGAATGAACGCTGTCCCATTCGATTCACAGCCGAATCCTTTGATTCTACGGCAAGCGCTGCTCTGACTGTCCAAACCGTCACGGATGTCTTGAGACGTACCACTCCAGAAGAGCGAGAGATTTGCGCCTTTTTGGGAGCCACTCGATCACCCGTCACTTTGCCCATGGCAATATTGACGAGTCTGGCAAATCGTCCACAGCTGACACCATGGTCCGTTTCTTCCCAACTCGACGATCGAGTTACCTTCCCATTGCTGGGCCGTCTCATTACTTCCGAGTTGGGCCTAGTGGTTCCCTTTTTATTGTACCTGAGACAGAAAAATGTCAATCATCTAGGAGTTATAATATTCAACAATAGCTACGGAAAGGCCTACGTGGAATCTCTCTTGCAGCAGGCAGAGACCCATCATCCCGACTTGTCGGTGGTTGTGGCCGAAATTCCGTTTGCCGAAGGAACCGATGAGGATTACGAGAGCGCCGTTGATACCCTTGTCCGCTCTCAATTTCGATGGTTCA